TTCAAAATATTTGTTACTGGTATGCAATTATTGCCATTTTACTATTCATATCGTTGACATTTTCTTTTTTCATCTTCTTAAAGAAGTTCAATACTGGTTTGGTGGTAAAGTTCTTTACCTGTCCTTCAATTCTAAACAATAGCTTTGCTGAGCAGTGTAATTTTGGTTGTAGGTCCATGCTTGTCATCACTAGGAATATTTTGTGCCAATCCTTCTGGCTTGTAAGATTTCTTTTTGAAAATCAGCTGATGACATTATGGAATTTACCTTGTAGGTAACTAACTGCTTTTAGGATTCTCTGTTCGACTTTAACGTTGACATTTTAATTATGATGTGTCTTAGTATGAGTCTCTTTGGGTTCATCTTGTTTGGAAATCTGTACTTCCTGAACTTGTACATCTATTTTCTTCACCAGAATTGGGAAGTTTTCTGGCATTATTTCTTCAAACAGGTTTTCAGTTCCTTGTTCTCTCTCTTCTCCCTCTGGTACACCTATGATGCAAATGTTGGTATGCGTGAAGTTGTTCCAGACGTTCCTTAAATTATCCTTATTCTTTTTTCATTTTACTGTTCAAATTTTTCTGCTACTTTTTCTTCCAAAATGCTGATTTGTTTCTCTACTTCATCTAATCTTTAATGTATTCTTCATTTTAGTTATTCTTGTCTTCATTTCTGGTGGGTTCTTTTTTATGTTTTTGGTTTTTTTTTACCTCCATTTTTATGTTTCCTATCTCTTTCTCATGGTTCTCACCGAGACCATCAATTCTTCCCCTAAGTTCCTTGAGCATCCTTACAACCAGTATTTTGAATTCTGAATCTGGTAGAATGCTTGTCTCCATTTTGTTTAATTCATTTTCTGAAGTTTTTGTTCTTTTATTTAAGATATGTTTCTTTGTCTCCTCATTTTGGCTGCCTCCTCATTTTTGTTTCTATGTATTAGGTAGACCTGCTATGTTTCCTAGGCTTGGTAGAATGGCTTAACATAGTAGGTATCCTGTAGGGTCCAGTGGCACAGCCTCTCTGTTCACTCGAGTTGGGCACTCCAGGTGTGCCCTCCCATGTGGGCTGTACAAACCCCTGTTGTAGTTGAGCCTTGACTGCGTTGGCATGTCAGTGGGAGGGAATGACCCTCAGGCTGATTGCAGGAAGGACTGGCCATGACTATGTGGAGACACTGTTGTGCAAGGACTGGTCCCACTGAGCAAAGCTGACGTAGCATGGCTGGGCCACTGAATCTGCTCTGGGCATGTGGAAATGATGAGGTGGTGTCTGGTGTGGTCTGTAGTTGGCAACTGGGTGCATAGATTCTGGAGCCTCTTAAGAGGGGCTTTGGGTGAGCCAAGACCAGCACTGTTGGTGCCCATCCTGCTATGAGCTTCAAACTGATCTGCAGATAGTTGTCACTTGTAATGGGCTTGCAGGTGCCTAGTCAAGGCTAAGTTGCAAACTGTGGCTGGCTGGCTGCCACTTGTGCCAGGCTTGGGGCTGCTTAGCAAGATGTTCCGGGCATGTTGAGACACATGCTCCTTATATGGGGTTTGTGAAACTATAAGAGATTTTAGGAGAGTCTGCAGCACCACCAACATGTGAAAAATCACTGGAAGCATCGTGGGTAGGCCCACAAGTCGGGTGAGGCAAGGTCAGAAGGAATCACCAGTGCAGGGTGAACAGTGTTAGCTAAAGTCGATGGAGACTCAGATATGGTGCCTGCCTACTCCTGCAGGCTGGGGGGGGGGGGGGGGTAGCAATTCTGTCTGGGGGAAAGCTGCCCCTCCAATCTGCACCTAGAAGTCACACAATTCAGTTTCTCTTCTGCATGCCCCTGGCTGCTTTTTGAGCAGTTGCCCTAGAGCAAGCTAGTCCATCAACAAGTAAATCTGGGGGGGGGGGGGGGGCCTTAAGACAATTGCCTAGGTCTCACTCAGCCACAGTCCCTGTTGGTTTTCACAGTCCAAAGTTATGCAGACTTCTCTTTCCAGAACTGAAACCCTGAGCTGGGGAACATGGTGCGGGGCTGAGATCCCTGTTTCTCAGGGGGGCCTCTGCAGCTGAGATGTTCCTCCAGATTTTGAATGCCACATGTAGGTGTGGGACCAGCTTGCTCCATGTCTGCACCCCTCCTATCATTCTCAACGTGGATGCTTCTGTATATCCTTAGCTATAGTACTTCTGTTGTTCAGTTAGAGTTCAGGCAGTTCTCAATGATGGTTATTGTGTAGTTTGGTTGTAATTCTGATGTGGTCCTGGGAGGAGGCAAGCAAAATGTCTACCTACTCCACCCTCTCGACCCAAAATAAATGTTTACTAATGGAGCCAGTGGCTCTACCATCTCAAATTTGCCTGAAATACTGGGAATGTGAGTAACCATTCTGGTGGTAAGTGGCCCAGCGGAAGCTCTATCCTGTGCACAGCTGCAGTGTGACCCTGAAAAGACTAATCAAAGTACAAGGTCAGCTGCCTCAAACATTCTCACAGCACAGAAAAGCAGCAATAGCACTAAGTTTCCTGTGCAAATATCCAGTATTTGTATGACAATAATTTTGTTTGCAGTAAGAACACGTCCAGGGAGACAGAGGGTCCTCCAGCCGAGCGCGCAGGCGAGCAAGCGCAAAGCAGCGGAGGGCAAGCGGCTGGTCGTCTGCTCACAATGTAGCCCGGCTCGCTCTGGCTCGTGGGCTGTTTTCCATTAAGATGTGAAGCCAGACCAGCTTTAAATGTAGTCAAATTTTGAGCATGAATAAAACATGGAGGCATAAGTACAATTCGACAGGTCAGATAGGAGATTATAAAAATCCACTCATAGTGCAGGTTAAGGCATGCAGTTTTTAAATATTTCTTATGTGCAAAGTGTAAGAAAATAGTCCATGTGGGCCGGCTATGCATTTTAAGACTGTTTATTATTCCTCCTCTTTACTCATCCTCTCTCAAAACAACAGCAATTCAAACTTCTTGCTCCTACATAAAGTATGTTGAACTCTTAAGAAAAAAAATGGGAGGCAAAGACAAACCTAAGAAGAGGAAAAAATGTTTGAAATGCCTCCAGATGTATTTTAAATTAAAACATATTTATTCTTCGTGACTGTGGAAGAAGGTGCTTTGAGGATGAAAATAGTCATCCTCAAATGAAATGTCATAACTCACAAGTGCCTTCTGGCTGTCTTCACTTACAGTAACCTTCCTTGGGACGCAGTTAGGGCTCACCGTGCAGGGTCCTTAGCGCAGCGGCCCAGTGAACGCACAGCCTGTGATGCTGGGAAATTCTCCGTGCGTAACAAACGCCCATCTCTTGCAGAGCAATAATGTTGCCCCCGTGGCGAGCATATTGTAATTTGGATAGTTTCCACCTATGTACTTTGCCCTCTGTTCCTGCTAAGTTCATTCTTTCATATGGGCCTCAAAACGAAAGGCTGAGAAAGCAAGGAATCACAGGTTTCCAGGAATCATAAATGTCCATCGGTTTGAAGGGATGAAGGAATGAAGAACAGATTCCGAGGTAAGAAAAGGCAATGGTAGAGAGAATAGGTAATTCTAGAGCACCCACCCCTGTCTCAATTTTTAAAAATGTTATTCTCCTCTCTGTGTTATCTATCAAGCTTTTCTATGGTATTTTAATTAAAGGTATAACTATAAAAAAGGCCTACTTATGAAAAATTATTTGAAAACCGTGGATATAGCCCAGTATTATTTGGTGTACAAGAATGTGGTCTTGTTGCTTCCTAGAAAACCATTCATTAGAATTTTTTAAATTTATTTAAATAATGAGAATACAGTGTTTAATTTAATGATGAGGTAAATGCTACCTGGATTCAGGTGGGCAGGGATCAGGATTAGTTGAGGAAATAGCAATCAATCTATTAGCAACCCATATCTATCTGGGTGTTATTATGACAATATAGTACAATATAGCTTTTATATCTAACAATATTTAGTAATAAGAACAAATGTAATTGTTTGTAATCCCAAATGTCTCTGAACCCTGTCAGAATCTTTGAGAATCCAGTAAAGGAAAGCCAATAATAAGCTTTCTGCAATGATACATCAGTCTTAGAACTCTATGATTTTTATAACACAGAGATCAACATACTGAAGAATTCTTGTCATTTCATATTACATTTAAGTATGATTTAATACAACAATATGTACACAATACACTTTTAAATGTTAGCATTCAATATAATAGATGGCAATGAGTTTATGATTTTCACTAAAACCACATTGGAAATCCTTGTTCTGCCTGAAAATAAACACTGAGAAATATGGTAAGAATTTTTTAGGAAAATAGATTTCATGATTTTAATTCAAAACTTTGGCAGCCGGGTTCTGGTCTTTATAGCAAATAGAGGTTGGAGTCTTCTGAAAGGAAGGCGCATCCCAGCACCAATGTCACAGATGATATTCATCTTCCGCCTGACTCCACTACGCTGACTCACGCTCCCTTTCTGCAGTAACATTGTATTTATTTTGCAATTTACACTTTTCATCCTCTGTTCTGAATAATAACCAAAAGTGGATGTGATAGTCCCCTAGGCTCTAGTATGGCGAAGCATTTTAAGAAATACTTTGTCAAGGTCCCCTCTGGGTTATTACATATCTACCCTTTTCCCAGGAGTCCAGCATTCACTGAAATGTGCGACACAAGTTCTCATCATGATAAGGAGTTGTGGAACCCTACCACAGAGTGAGCTTTTGAAAACTGATTAACATCGGTCATTCCTCTGAATGATGCTCATTAAAGTAGCAAAAAATCCAATATAGTGGTTTAAGTAATACAGTTGGAAGATATGTCCAAAGACAATCTAATAAACATTGGTATGTATTTGAAATGTGGCTACCCTCGCCACACCAGGGTTTGTTTTTAAAAGGTCGATATTGTTTTAGAACTCATAAAGAAGTTTCATAAAGCTTAACATTGAAGAAATTACTCTCATCAAAATGTAGCGAGGTGTTTTTGTTTTTTATAAACTTATTCACAATGACATATTGAAGAGTAATGAGCTTACTTGAGTTTAGGAAGAGCAGTATTTTCCTTTTATCAGAAGTCACTTCTTTGGCAATTTCAACATTCTGGAGAATAATCTAGATACAGAAAGCAAAAATAAAAAATGTTGTGAACATTCAAAATAGATTCAATACAACCTATACACTGAAATGTATCCATTTTATCCATAAGGAAGACATGCATCCCCTTAGAGCACAAAGTACTGTCCTTACTCAGACAGGCTCACACCTGGTTTCTATGGGTACAGAGGGGAGCAAATATTAAAAATTGCTTACAATGTCCAAAGTGTTCATTTTTACATTCCCTGGTGAAAGCAGTACCAAGTATGAAAAGAAAAAACAGAAAGGAAACTTGATGGCTACATGTCTGTTTCTGTATATTTTGTTCACATACTTACCAGCTTCATTTCACAATCACCCATTGATTTTTACTTTCAAATAACAGTTGGTACCTTAGCAAAGACTTTAACTTAACACTGTGAGAAAAACAAAGAAGCCAAATAAAAAACTAAAGGCCCCAAATAACAGATATCCCCCCCAAAATTTGCTAGAGCTATTCAAGAGACATCTAAAGAAGTTAGGTTCATTAATTGATTACTTAAGAAAATAGAAGAAAAAAGGGATTAAAAGTGTTTGCCAGTCAGAATATAAGAGGCCAAAAAAGAAATTCCAGGCTCTGAGTCCCCCGGCTGATCTGTTTTCCTACCTCTGCCTCTCTCGTCCTAATGTGTATGTTTTATATATCAGGTCCAGGGTGTTAAGTTGTACTTAAGTAGAATAAACAGGTGAAACTTACTCTACTCCAATTTGTTAAGAACCATAAATCACTCCATTTTTTGGTTTAGGAATTTTAAAAATCAAATTGAAGGAACCACATCAAAATTACAACTAAACACAGAACAACCATCGTTCAGAACCACCTGAAATTGAGCTGAATGGAAGTCCTACAACTACAAAATTAAAGAGGAAGCATCAAGACTGCAATCAAGATTCAATTACAACAGAAGAGGGTAGAGTCCACATGGACCCAGCTGGGATAAACAGGGAGACTGTCCCACTGGACCCTACAACACACCTACTACAATAGGCCACCTTGGGAAGCTGAGGAGACATAGCAACTCCACCTAATACAAAAAAAAAAAAAAAAACACAGGGAAGCAGCCAAAATGAGGAGACAAAAAAACATGTCCCAAATGAAAAAACAGAACAAAACTCCAGGAAAAAAAAAAAAACTAACCAAAACGGATATAAACAATCTAATAGATGCAGAGTTCAAAACACTGCCTATAAGGATGCTCCATGAACTTAGTGAGAACATCAAGGAAGATAGTGAGGACCTCAAGAGCATTAAAAAGGACAAATCAGAAATAGAGGATGCACTAACTGAAATAAAAAAATAATTTACAGGAAATGAATAGTAGAGTAGGTGAAGCCAAGAAAAAAACCATCAATTTTGGATATAAGGAAGCAAAAGACATCCAATTAGAACAGAAAAAAGAAAAAAGAATCCAAAAAAATGAGGATAGTGTAAGGAGCCTCTGGGACAACTTCAGGTATACCAACATTCATATCATGGGGGTACCAGAAGGAGAAGAGAGAAAGAAAAAATTGAAAAACTATTTTAAAAAAATAATGACAGAAAACTTCCCTAACGTGGTGAAGGGAACAGACATATAAGTCAAGGAAGCACAGAGTCCCAAATAAGATGAACCCCAAGGGCCCACACCAAGACCCATTATAATCAAAATGCAAAAGGTTAAAGACAAAGAGAGAATCTTAAAAGCAGCAAGAGAAAAGCAGTTAGTTACCTACAAGGGAGCTCCTATAAGACTGTCAGTCGATTTCTCAAAAGAAACTTTGCAGGCCAGAAAGGAGGGGCAAGAGATATTTAAAGTGATGAAAAGCAAGGGCCTACAACCAAGATTACTCTATCCTGAAAAGCTATCATTTAGAATCAATGGACATATAAAGAGTTTACCAGACAAGGAAAAACTAAAGGCGTTCATCACCACCAAATCAGTATTATATGAAGTTTTGAAGGATCTTCTCGAAAATAATGATAAAATATATAAACAATAAAATGGCAATAAACACATATCTAGCAACAATTGAATCTACAAGAAAAATGAGCAAGCAGAACAGAAACAGACTCATAGATACTGAGAACAGTTTGTTGGTTGCCAGATGGGAGGGGGGTTGGGGCAATGGGTGAAAAAGGCGAAAGGATTAAGAAGTACAAATTAGTTGTTAGACTGACAAACCTCAAAGGGAAAAGAGGAGAGAGAAAAAGATAAACCAAATAACTTATATGCATATATACATAATCAATGAACACAGATAACAGTGTAGGGAAGGCAGGAGGGGAATGGGAATGCAGAGGAGGGGCTCAAGGAGGAAAAAGAGTGGACATCTGTAACACATTTAACAATAAAGATACATTTAAAAAGAAGAAATGAATAAATAAAATTCAAATTGAAGAGTAAACATGTGACATAACAAATACATTCCTGACTTCATTTATTCAGAGTGAGTAATTTAATATAGATGCATTATCTATATGCCCTATTTTGGATTTTCACTGAAAACACTGTAGCAAAAATATCACCAATGAAAGCAAATTTAAACATAAATATGTAAAAATTAAATAAATAAAATTTAAAATATTTTGGATACTATTCTCTATATAGAAACTTAAAACAATAATTCTGCTTGCCATATTATTTAATAAGGCAGGACATTATTAAAATCCTACTCAGGTTTTAACATAAGATTTAGCATAGACTGAATGAGACAAAATCGTCATTATTCAACTGAGGAGTTAATTTTGATGTGTTTTTAAAACTATTTTTTAATTTTGTAAACAAGAATTTCACACACTGAGCTTTCTGTCTTTTTTGTTTTTATTTTTATTTTTTATTAATTTTATTTCATTGCCTGAGCTTTGTTAAATAGAACTTTTGTCATAATTTTAAAAGATGCTATCAGCTTTGGTGTCACAAAAATATAGTTAAAACAAACAAACAGCTCATAAAATTGATGTCAGAAAAATTAACAGTAAGCTTTCTTCTTACCAAACTCACTGTAGCACCTGTTATACTTAAGAAAATATGTTATGTCTTCCTAACATTAGAGTATTTTGTTACAAAATAAAGTGTGTTTTAGCAGAGTGACAACCTCAAAGTAGACTTCCCAGAAGTAGATAAAAACACTTATAGAAGCATGCTATAAACATAGGAGTCAAGATTTGTGTTCAAGTTGCATGTTATATATATATATATATATATATATATATATATATATATATATATAAATTACACTCTAAAAGAGCAAGGTTGGAATATTACTGGTGCTACTTTGAATGTTTTTCTACAAGAATGCCAAAAAAAAAAACCAAAAAAAAAACAACAACCACATTTCAATAAGTATTTTCATAATATTTATAGAAAATACTGTTTTATTGTCTTCCTTACATTTCAGAATACATTTCATAAAAATACTGTACCAAGGCAATCAGCTGATTTGTGAGAGTCAGCTTCACATAATAGAGATAAGGAGAAATGACAACTGACTTAAAGATGCTTAAGAACTTAACGAAGATATGGAGAAACTCAAGAAAATAATGTATGGACAAAATGAAACTCTCAGTAAAGAGTAAAGGAACAAACAAAAATTTATGGAGCTGAGAAGCACAATACATAAAAAGTTAAGAAGCATGATATAAAGGCAGATTTGAGCAGACAAAAGAAAGAATCAGTAATTTTGAATATGGAACAATGAACATTATTGAGTCTGAAGTACAGAAAAACAAAGACTGAAGCAAAACAAATAAGCCAAGGGCCTTATGGAGTACTAAACATAAACCCATATAAGCATTGTGGTAATTGCAGAAGGAGAAGAAATAGAGAAAGAAGAAGAGAAAACATCTGAAGAAATATTGTCTTAGAATTTCCCACATTTAATAAAAGACATCAGCATAACCATTCAAGAAGCTCAACAAAGTCCAAGAAAAATGAAATCAAAGAGACCCACCCTTAGACATATTTCATTCAAACTAATAAAAGACAAAGAGAAAATCTTGAAAGCAGCAAGAAAAACGGACACATAATATACAAGATATCCTCATTAAGAATACAGAAAGACTTCTCATCAGAAACGTTGGAGGCTAGAAAGCAGTAAGCAATATATTTAACTTACTAAAATAAAAAATAAACAACAAAAATCTCTAAACTAAAAATTCCATAGCTGGCAAAACTGTCCTTCAAAAGTGAGGGGGAAATTAAATATTTGTAAAGAAACAAAAACCAAGGAAGTTTATTACCACTAGATCTGCCCTTTACAAAATGTTCGAAGGAGTTCTGCAAAGTAAAATGAGAGGACATTAGACAGTAACGTGAAGTTATGTAAAAAAATTCTCAATAAAGATAAATACATGGGCAATTATAAAAGCTTGTATTATTGCAGGTACAGTTCATAACTGTACTTTTGTTGTTTATATGATTTAAAAGACTAAAACATTTCTAACAATTATTTGTCTAAAAGTTAGTATTATTGTAACTTTGGTCTGCAAGACCACATTTTGCTTTTTTCTAATGTAAGAGGCTAATGCATTTAAAATAATTATCAATTTATGTCTGGCGGGAGTTAAATATATAAAGATATAATTTCATGATATCAATACCCAAAAGTAGTAAAGGCAGAGGTATAAAGAAGCAGATTTTTTTGTTTGTTACTGAAGTTAAGTTAGCATAAATTCAAATTAGAGTGTTATAGCTTTAGAATGTTAAATGTGATCTTAATGAAAATCACAAATAAAGTAGCTATAAAATACATATAAAAGTTAATAAGAAAAAATTTAAAGACTTCATGAAAAAACATAAACTAATCCCATAATCAGAAAGTAATGTAAGAAATGAGGGACAAAAAATCTTATAATGCATACGGGGTGGATATGCAGTTGTTCATTTGAAAAATAATACAATAATTAATAAATAATAACATAAAAATACACTATTTCATTTACTCACAACTGTAAACCTACTTTTGCCCACCCATGCATTGAAAATAAATAGAAAATGATG